ATTAATTAATAAAATTTGATTTGATATTATTTTTTATTCGAGTAAATATTTAATTTAATTTGTTATATTATTAAAAAATATATTAAAAATATCACTTAATTTTTTATGTCATCAAAAGATATTTTTTTTATTAGTATGTGGGATCCATTTGAGTAGATTTGATGCCATATCATCAAAAAAACAAATTTCTTTATTAGTGATGTGGGACCTATCTAAATGGATTTAGCACATAGTAACATGATATGTCAAAATAATTGTCCATGTCATTGCTTTGCTAAATTTTGCTCTTCACATCATCAAAAGAAATATAAAAAATGCCACATAAGCCAACTTAACGGGTCAAATTAACAGAAAGACTAACGAAGTGCATTTTGTATAGTTGAGGGATCAAAAAAGTGCAAAAAATTGTTGAGGGATAAAAAATGTGCATTTCATAAAGTTAAGGGACCAAATTAAGCATTTAACCTTTTCTAAATTCCTTCCTAATGCTAAGCAGAAAGCATAAGGACTGTGTGGCAGTTACACTGTGGAGCATATGGAACAACCGAAACAATTGCTCATTTCAGCATAGATGTTCAAAACATGATCTTACAGTTCATTGGATCTCAAAATACATTGCGGAATACACAAAGTGCAGCTGAATTTGAAAACAAGATCAGACTGTTGGAGAATAGAGTTTCGCCAGTTTTCTGGCAACCACCACAGGGGGATATAATAAAAGATTAATACCGATGCTGCTGTCCCACAAAATCAGAACACAATCAGTCTAGGAGTTGTCATCCGGAATAGTGAAAGTAAGGTTTTAGGGGCTGCACAAATAAACCGCACTTTCAGGGGGTCAGTTCTTCAAGCTGAGGTTATGGCAATTGATTTTGCACTACAATTAGGAAAGGAATTTGGCTGCAAAAGAGTTGAAGTTGAATATGATAGTGCATAGGCGGTAGCTATAGCCAACCCTACCGATGAATGCATCTTCCTTTGCGAGCAATTGTTGAGGAACTTCGAGATAGAAAGTCTTATTTTTTCTCTGTATTAAACGTGCAAAGAGAGACTGCAATGTGTTGGTTCACAGACTGGCACATCTTTTGTCTCCTCCTCCACCTTGGGAGGGTGTTTGGTTTTGATTCTCTACCCTGCTTTATGTCTTGTTTCTGATTATTAAGCAATAATATATCTTTTATAAAAAAAAAAATGATTTAAGTGGGATTTAATTATTAAATCTATTAATTTTTGCAAAGTCCACGTCAGACAAAATTAACAATTTTGTGCAGCTCAGCTCCACGTAAGCAAGGCTTGACGGAGTAACGGAAGAGGAAACGGAATGCTGACATTTTATGACATCATCACAAGCAAAAGGGGCGGTTTGGATGGGTTTGGTAAGTAGAAGAGGCTTGGAATTTTCCTTTTCTGGTTAGTAATAAAGTGGTTGGGTTTTTTTTTTTTTTGGTGTGATTTTCTCAGCTTAATTGTAACTTTTGTAAGCCCTGAGCGTGGTGGATGTTGCCTTTCGAGAAGAAAAATTGCTAGTCATTTTC